AAAATACCTGGAAAACGAGTTCAAAATGATAGAATGGATAAACTTTACAGAAAATGAAATCACAAAAGTACGTTGCCTAAACCAGTTTTGTATAGAAAAATATATTGCTAGTTTTTGTTCACCAGCATTACACGACCTATGTAATTGGAGCCTTGAGAAACACGATATATGTAATTAGGGCATGGAGAAACACAAACCAGTGTGATAATGGATATGAGTTACATGTCATGTGTAAACCACATAAATATCCAAAAAAATGTTTCATCCTATCTTTTTTGATACTTGTCTATTTTTCCTGAAACGTTGAATAACACCCCCACCATGCATCTTGCATTTAAGGTTACCTTAGTATTGACTTATATATAACTCAAATGTTCGTAATTATGAGAATGACCAAAGTAGAATGATATTTTAGCAAAATAAGATGTTATTTTAGAACAAAAGTGAAATAAATGGATAAACCGATGAAGGAACCTTTGATGGAAGGGTTTATACTTTCTATCCATTTCACCCAAAAACTTATGGAAACTTGTGCAAATGATTCATCATGTGATGAGTGTGTGTAAACAATTCCAATAAGAGAATTAAGTGCACATGACATGGGTTTTACAACCTTGAAACTTAAAGATATTCGCTTATTACTTTCCCTTCAATGGTAGAAAATTCAAGGGTTAGTTATGTTTCTGAAACCATAATTGCTAGTGATGATTTATATGTGTAAAATAAAGTTAGATAATGGAAGATCAAGCTATATTATTAAAGAATGAGGCTAAAATGATGTGATTTGAAGCTAAATGTTGTTTTGAGTAAATGTCTAAGTTTTGTGACAAGTAAATTATGAGATGATTATTATAATTGTTAAGATGCAAAAACATAACAAGAAAATTCAAATACTAAGATTGTATCTATATTTTATTTGGTAAATGATTGTTTAACCGGTAGAAATAAAATTTGAGCTTATGACTTTAGAACGATTAATTATTATGAAATTGTTCTAAATGTTAGAATTTGACATGTTTGTAAACTAGTATAATGGCCAAAAGGCGGTACATAACCATATATTTAAAGAGTTTATAAAAACAAGAAGTGTGATGACTCGTAATTTTGCATTGATATGATCATGCATCACATATAGTGCATCTTGCATGAATTATGATTACAGTACTAGATTTAATCACATATTTATATAATATATTGTTTCTAAATCCCATGTAAATCATGAGATATTTTTTTGTCTCATGTATTATTTTTCAAATATCATGTATTTCATGTACATGTTTAGAGACTTAAAAGATCTTGGTTCTTAGAAGAAAAAAATTTAGGTTTTGAGAAAGTGGCTTGAAAATAGTCCTTGTATTTGGATGTAGTGGAGCTTGGTAGACGTAACACCTACTTTTGAGCTCACTTTGCAACTATGTTTGGTGTTTGATGTGAAGTTGTAACTTGGTGTGAGTATTTTAAAATATTATATTTTTGTTTGAGACCGAAATGTTGAAATTGAAAGGGTTATTTGTGGTTACAATGAAATAGCCGGTTGCGGTAAGGCTATCATGTATACTCTCCACACCAAGGATCGTGAAGAGCTTCCAAGTCAGCCGCCTTCAGGCCACTACAAACAACCAGAGTACTCCACTACCGGTAAAGAAGAGAGAAAATAAGTTTGGAAGGAAGAAGAAGACCATTGGTCGTTTACAATCGTGATGCATACCATGAAACACCACGCAACAACTCCTTCACGAACTGTTGAGTTAATGTGCACAATCGTTGTTTATTGCTCCCATAGACAACTTCGCTGTGTTGATGGTGGTTGGTCTAATTGGTAAGAGAATCATTCCACAAAAAATTTCATATTCAAACTTAAACCTAAAAGCCTACAATTGTAGTTCAAAATTGTTAAATTATAGAAAAAGGTTATTAAAATGGAAGGACTTTAATAAAATAAGTTAACTGAACATTAAAAAAAAAAAAAGGCAAAAAAAGGTTTATATGATTCGCACTTATATTGTCACTATTTTCTTTGAAGTTTTCCCGAAAATTCCATCCACTCAAATAAATAAATAAAAGGAAAAAGAAAAAGAAAAAAACGGAACAAGTGATCGCTGCCGTCGGTATGTCAAAAACCCTAATTCACATTTCCTCATCTATATAACACCACTATTGTTACCTCCAAATCATACTCACCAAACCCTAGATTCCTATTTCAACAATCGTTTCAAAGCCTACATTCTTTGATTTCATAACATTTATATGTTTTAGTTTATATCAACATTTATAGCTGATTAGCTGTTGTTGGTTATCGATGATGAAAAATTCAAGGCTTGTTTCTCATGAACATTCGCAGTGGCCGACTGATAGAGCTTTCGCCTTCGCCAGGCTTGGGAGCTCATATTTTATCTCGATTTCTTTATCTTTTTCATTTTTTCTTTCAATTGGGGATCGTCTGCCCCTTTTGCAAATGCTCTATTGCTTTAGGGATGGAATGATGTCCCCTGATATTCACTTCACCCTCTTCACTTTGTCAGCGATTTCATTAGTCTAGCTAGTTTTACAAGTTGCTGATCATTTATGGGTGGGAGATCTTGTTTTTTTTAATCCAAATTAGTGTTATTTGCAGTTTTGATTTGGGTATAGTTAGAATTGATTTTGGAACTGATGATGATAATCCAAAGGCTTGTTTCTCAGAGACATTCGCAGTGGCCGCCTAAGAACTTTCGCCTTCGCCAGGCTTGAGAGTTAATGCTGCTTTTTTCCTTCCTTGGATGTCTGAAGTTTTAATTTTTTTTTTTATAAATTATAAATTATTTATATTTATTGTGGGTTTCTCAGTGATGATTTCATAGATGACGAGTCTGATATATCCATTCCATTCATCATGAAGACCAATCGAGGCATTTGTCTGAGAGAAACCCTTCGATAATTTTTTTAATTGATTTTATTCTTTTTTCTATTAACGTTTAAATATTTTAGTATTTCTTTGGTTATGTTGGTTGTTTGTGTGTATTATCTTATTTAGACCGTTCTAGTAGATCAACATATATTTAGAAAAGAGAATATTACTTGCTGAGCAATTTTGTAACTTAAAACAATAAAAGTTAAAGCAATTCAAAACTTTATTTAACCGAGTAAGCTTAAAACAACGAAATTTTAAACAAATCAATAGAGGATAATTTCTCAATAAATGGCAAAACTTTTAGGAAAAATGATTTAAAAAGTTAATGAAGTTTTAAAAATGTATAAAAAAAAAAGATAATTGTTGTATTTTTTTTACATAAAATACCATTTTTACAGGTTATTTGGTTTTCAAATGTTCAAAAAATACTATTCTTTTTTAGTACAAAAAATATCATTAATGTTATTATTGTACACAGAATACCAACAAAATATACATGTGTTCAACTAAAACATTGTGGTAAGCTTCAGGTAAATGAGATGAGAAGAGTGTAATAAGCAACTGCGTGTTTATTTTTTGTTGAAATTGTTAGAAAATTTCACTGTATGATTTGCCGAACAAGATTAGAGGTGTCGTTTTGGATGATAAATTTTTCTTCATCTCGGTGATGAGATAAGCATAATCAGCAATTGCTTGTCATTTTGTAAAGGGGGACATCGAATGACAGGCTAGCAGATAATCCGGAACCAATTTAGTGTCTACATATAAAAACTTTTCACATATGTTGTAACAATTTTAATGCAACATTTTTCATTTATGTGGGACATAATACATTGCTATTCCGGTTCATTATGAAGTAAAAAGGGTTTTTTATGTTAAATATAATCAGGTTGTTATTTTTCTCAATACTGTAATTAAGTAAATAAATTAAGTTCATGGATTTTTATGTTAAAAAAATAATGTTAACATGATAATGATAAAAGATGATACTTTTTGCATCTCAAGAAAGTTTGTTTGTTTTCCTAAACATTTTTGGCTATTTTTCCGTACAAATTAAGCAAAACACTATGCCAAAAAACTACAAGATACGCCAAAAATAAGAAATAAGTTTCTATGATGCATCATTCCATCCCAAACAAGAGCACCTTCAAGGTCTCCTTTGATGTGGACAACCAACAAATTTCTTCATGCCAAATCCATCATCTAGACCATGAGCAATCTTGGACTGTATCTCAATCAGTTTCTGTTTTGTTGCCATTAAGTATATTTGTTGGAATGTCTCTTCAAGAAAATGCTCCAATTTCTATGTTTTTACTCCACTCCTTGCATCCTGATTATTCTCACACTATAAAAGAACTACCCAAAAGTCATAAATCATAAGACTGAAGTGTTTAAAAGAAATTAAGTTGATAAACCAGAAAAAAAAAAAAAAAACTCACCATTGGCTTGCAAACATCGTTAGCCTTTTCTTGAAGAGATTGATATCTCCTGGCTTATTAACTAAGGGTAGCATGGTCCAAACCATAATAATTTGCAACAACATCAAACAAAGGAAAAAGGTGATAGTAAACGAAGTAAAAAGAAATTTAATGACTTGATATGCTTAGGGAATCGACTGTATTTGGTTGTTGTCACTTCTAATATACAAATAATTTTAGACACAACAGGTTTTGCTTAGTATACTTTATATTTCATTCCCAAAAGATGTTATTACTTGAGACAGAAGAAGTAAAAAGAAGTTAAAGTAACTTGTGTCGTCCCAAAATCCAAATGAATAAAGAAGTCATCCTGAAATCCAAACAACTGAAGCAATCGTCAGGAAATCCTTTATGTTGAAATGTGGAAGTGCAAAAAGAATGATTTATAGATGGAAAAGTGGAATACAATATTATACAATGAGATAGCCATGATTCTTGAAGATTGATAATCCTTCCAAAATTAATTAATTATAAAGCATACCAAAAATAATGAACGTAAAAAAAAAAAAAAAAAATCATACAAAAATTGTGCAAAATTTTATCATTAATATATAAAAATTATACCAAAATTAATCTTATTATAATAAAACTTTCAGTTAAATAAAATCATACTCCAAAATGTATGTTGTTCGTTAGGTTGAATCCTTGTCCCTCAATGTGGTATTTCGACACTCTTTTTCATTCAAAGACGATTCCGTCCTCATTAGTCTGTCTCTGCAGGTCTTGAACATTATATGGAGAAATTGCATATTTTCATGTAATAAACCAAACAAATAAACTACAAAGAAATTCAATAGATAAGATGCATAGAATATATATGACCTCCGATTCTATATTACTACCGTGATATTATTACCAGTAGGGGCAGCTATGTCAGATTCACGAGAAGGAGCCACATCCTCCATTTCAAGCTCGCCATCATCATCCTCCAACACATGGGTATGCTCATCTGTCGCAAGTATATGCATCCCATCATGCTCTTCAGAAATTTTAGGGTTATGTTCAGGAGTCACAGCCTCAAAACCCTCCCCATCTGAATCGATTCCATCTTTTTCATCCATCAACATTGTTGGGATTGCACAATCAGATAGTTGTATGATCGAGTTATTGCAGAGGATCCATATAACCTGAAAGATTTGAGAATATTACTTTACTAAAAAAGATAGAAATAATTTAATACAACACAAAACAAACTCACTCATTCCGTACTCATCAACAAACATAAAAAATTTCTGATCCTAAAAGACATATTGTTGAGGGATTCAAGCTCACGGATATTTTGGCGAATCATTGTTTCTAGAAGAATCTTTCTTTCTTGCCACATCTTCCGAACCTAGAAAATAATACAACATTTTAAGGTATCTTAATTCTAACTCTTGCATACATGATTTAGGTAAACAAGCAAAACATCTAAAAACAAGACATACATACTTTTAAATTGCCTACGCTTTTCAAGAGCACTACTCCCTGGAGGAGCAGCAACCAAAATAATTTTGTTAACACTGATTACCGAAGGATACAAATCAACCACATCACCCGAAACACAATCAATTGGCATTATTGATAAAAAAAATTATATTCATGAAAAAAATGTTATATTTAGGTGTCAAAAAGAACCCAAAACATCATACGATCAGAAAAAAGATGATTAAACCCAAAAACCTAGTAGAATTAGAAAGAAATAAACTACTATTAGGAGAAATAGTTGTTAGTGTTACATGGAATCAAAATCACAGCATACTCATATATCGTAAGAAAACATGGTGTAGCAGTAAAATCCAAAGAGCACCCTTACACGAATCCTCTCGGTTCTCACATTTTCCATCTGTAATAAATAGAAATTGTTTACTTCATCAAAAACCACCATGAAGAAATATGTGCAAAGATTGACGGATCACGGTTGGGTTCTCCTTGCCGGAAACAGTGCTTCGAGCACATAGCTGCTGATCGAGAAAGTGCTGATTGGGAAAGATCTGTTTGGGTAAGAAATCCTGACTGAGTAAAAAATCATGCTGTTTGATTGTACATCTGACTGAATGTCCTGACTAATGAAAAATAACCATTTTACCCTTTATATGTAAATTACACAAAAAATCCTTTAAAAATCCAAATAAAATAAAAGGAATCATTGTTTTTATAAAGTTATAAATAAATTTATTGTTTTTAAAACAATTCAAACAACTCATTCATTATCATCAATCAATTTAAAGGATTGATAATCAGCCATTAAAGGATTGATAACTAGCTATAACACTTAGAGCAAAAACATCAAATATTAAAAGGAAAACAAATGACAAACTCATATGAATACAGACACATATAATCTGAATAACATTCAACAGCAAAAGAACAATCAACAGCAAAAAAGTATTCAACCATTCTCTTTTTCCATTTTTATTCCAAACGGACCATTTCATGAGCATAGAACTTTGAAAAATCTTGTTTTCCTTGAAATTGAAAACGAAAAAGACCGAATTCCCCTTTAGACAAAACTGTATGGCTCCATCTCTTGTAAAAAACAGATCCTCTCATCCATAAAAACCTTCAAATTCTTTTTCCCCTCTAACTTCATTATCCAAAAACTCAACAAAGCAAAAAATAAACTAAAAGAGTTGCAAAAAAATAATTCATCAGATTAACAATTATCTTTGTCAATGAAATTCCCTTTCTTAACTCCAAAGGGAATATGATGACAAGTTTACATTATTTTAACAACAAAATCTTATATAAAACAGAGAAATTTCAACAGAAAGTTGGAAATTTACAAACCAGTTTGCAAAAACAGAGGAAAGATAGAAACAACTCACATTATAACTTGAATCACCAATCTAACAGAAAAAAAGCCAAAAAAAACGAAACACCTTTGAGCCTAAATGAAAGCAGTAAGTGCAAATCCGTCTAAACTACCAAACAAGTGTGCATAACAAATTAGATTACAATCGAAACTACTTTGGTACAATTGAAATTAGATTACAACCGAAACTATTCTGGTAGAAAATGAATATAAACAGAAGGGCAAGGGTACAATTGAAACCCATATATTATCAAAAAATTGGAACTGTGAAGAGGAAAAAGAAAGAAGCGTGTACTTGTGCCTTGAATCACTTTTGCAAACCCTTACAACAAAATTAGAAGTCGATGCTGAAGGAGGAGAAGAAACGATGGAGGCGTTGATTTCTTCCTTCATTAGGGCAAGGGTACCATTGGAAACTTTTCTCCCTTCACCAGTCAGCCAATTTCTTCCTTCTTTCTCAATCAGATAATTCTTTCCGAGTCAGTCGCCCAATTTTAGTTCATCAAACACCTTTAGTTGACCGAGTCAGCCAAAAATGTCTGACCTGACTCGGTCAGACAGGGCCTTAATTAATTTCCTGATTTAATTTCTGAAACCATTTAATGACATTAAATTTCTGAAACGGAAATGTCAAATGGATTGATTGGTAAGCATTAATTGATTGTACATGATGTAGTGTGTGTGGTACCTTTTAAATTTCAAGAAATGTCTAAAATGTTTTATATATATACTAGTTGTGTACCCGCGCAATGCGGCAGGACGGACCATGGGTTGGGGGAGAATAGTTAATTTCACCTAATAGTTTCGTTGATTGATTATTTGTCTGTTGGAACCATATCTAGGTATAACTAAGTTTTCTCGATCAGCATAATGCTAGCTCTTAAATGTAACTGTTACTCAAGAATTTTGTTACAACTTACAACGGAGATCTGTAGTTTCGTTTCCGTAGGCGTCATATAGACTCTTTTCATTGATTAATTAGTTTCGCATCATTGGGCTTTTTACGGTTATAAATGAAGGTGTGTTGTAGGTTTTAATTATAAATAAAATTACGTTGTATTTTTTTGTTAAAAAGTATGGTGTTTTCTGTTAAAAGAAAATTTGTTGTTATTTATCTTTTAAAAATAGACGAAAGTTTCTATCTTGTTTTAAGAACAAAATGCATTATTATTTTGAGATAAAAATATAGATACCTTAATATTTTGAATTAATTTTTTTTTTTTGTTAAAAGTAGAGTTCTTTGTTATTTCGGACTTTTAATAGGTACGTTAATTAGGTCTAAACATTACAATACATTATTGTTGTTGAGTTCGAAACATAAATTTATTTCTGGCTAAAACTTTGAGTGTTTTGTTTTAATCGAGACACAATTACTATAGGTATTACTGTTAGTTTTCGCTTTATATATATATATATATATATATATATATATATATATATATATATATATATATATATATATATATATTAAAGTTCATCATCAATAATAACTAAAAAAAAACTATGAAAGAGTAAATAATGAGCGGCATCATTATCATTAAACCATATGTTGTTTTAACCGAGACCTATATTAGATCTCAAATGTAACACTCAAAAATTGTCATCCAACACTTTATAAGTACGTTTTTGTTTTCATGTAAAATACGAATATGTAAAAAGAAAAATTCTAATGAATAATTCTGTAGTGATCCTATTGCAAAATAGGTTCTCATTTGTGCAAAAAATGAATAATTGTTAAATATTTTTTTTTTCGAACTTCCAACTATCTTACTTAATTTTAAAGGTGAGCAATGAGCATAATAACCGAACACCCAAACCTAAGCAAAACCGAAAAATTTACGGTTCAATGTATTTGACTGATTTGTCAATTAAATTATTTGGTTTTAGTTATCTATTAAACCAACTCATAATAATCAAACTCATTACTAACCAGAATGAACATACATAGTTTTTGGGCACAAAATGATATAGAAAAACTAATATAGTGAATAACCTAAGTGATAAAATTGTTATGATATGTAACGCCTGTGTTTCTGGGTTTGCCATTTTTAGCAATGTGATAGTCTAGGTTAACCTTTGTAACCTGTTTTGAAATAGTAGAAGTGTATTATTTGAGTATTATGTGTTTTGTGCTTAATTGCTTAATTATGTGGTTTGATTAATTAAGAATAAAAATTAGCGTCAAAATTTAAGTGTAAAATAAACTCGATATCTTTAGATAATGTTGTAGTAGTTGAAACAAGGTTTCCGAAGATATAAAGAATGTCGAAATCCGAGTTATAACGAGGAAGTTATGACCTGTCGAAGTTTCGCGACAGAACCGACAACGCTGATTAACGTAAAAAGTGAAATTTACGTTAGAGCGATATTTAGCCTTAGTGATCTAAACAAGAATCTAAGATCTCGTTGTTAGTATCAAAGCGATAAAAAGTTAGGCGAGAACGGACGTCAAACGAAGAAGTTATGAATTTATAACGAAAATTTCTGTCCCGGACTATTAAAAATAAATAATAAAAATAAAGTCAAAATTAGCTGACGAAGTCTAAACGAAAGTTATAGAGCGTAGTCTCACCTTCGCGTGGATATAAAGAACATCGAAAACGGAGTTCGTATGAAGCAGGTATGAATTTTCGAAGTTTATTAAATAATTAATAATTAAATTTAATTATTAAATCCGGCCTTATCCGAAGACGAGTCACCGGACTCATCCGGAGTACGCCCCGCGTATAGCGAAGGGTGTCGACACTTTGGATGACGCATGCAGTGACGACTTCGGAGCCCTGTACGCCCCGCGTACGAGGAGGTTCCAGCCTCCTATAAATAGGATGCGAGGGTTCCGGGTTTATTTGCTAATTTCCTCTTGTTTTTGTGCCGAAGCTCTGCGCGTAAACCCCCGAAGCCCCGGTAATATTCCCGAGTCCCGAAGCAAGTCTCGAGATCCCGAAGATCCCGAGAAGTGCGGTTTCCGAGCCGAAGCTCTGCCC